TATTCAGCCGCTTAAGTGATTTGGTGGCAATTTCCCTTCAAATGTAAAGATATTCAATTTATTGAGGTGATTACTTGATTACGTGATTCGAGGTGATACTCGATCAAAAACGTAACTTCTACAAAATTTTTTTATGTCATCATTAGAAATGTTGATAATATCCTAGTTGGCGGCAAACATTTTCACACTAAATTGATGAAATTCTATTTAAAACGCTAAAATTAACGCAAAATGATATAAGTTTAAAGGTTTAAGTTTAAGGGTTTAACAAAAGGTTAAACATTTGCCTCAAGAATTTTATTTTTAGTTACAAAGCCTATGTAAATGTAAAAGTAAATGTAAAATTTCACGGAATTTGCGTTAATCTATTGATCTTTAGACCATTAATCAGATCATGAGCAATATTTTCGTTCTTCTTTTAAACTCTGAAAGCGATAGGTGCAAAAGATTGATAAAAGTAGCAGAATGGTCAAAAAGTAAAAAAAAAGTATAAAAAAGTTAAAATTTTACCCCACCGGATCTTAAAATTTTGCCCCCCCGGATCTTAAAATTTTACCCCCCCGGATATTGAAAGACCCCCCCGGATACTCCACAAGTACCAATCTCTAACTTTCTCTTTGTATTGTCAGGATTGTCGAAACTTGAAAGAGGACACAAAAAAACGTGAATCCAATAATTGTTTACTCAAATGTTTGCAAATAATGTGTGTGCTTTTATCATAAGTGAGTCAATAGAGAGAAATTGAAAGCATTCTTCTTTGAGATCATTGATAAAATGAACTCATTTCCGTTTCTATTTTGCAATACCAATCCTTTACTATAGTACTACAGAGCTATAGTGCCACAGAACAGAAGTGTTCATCATTTTCTTGATCATCAATTCCGATTTCCTTGAAATCCCGTCAATACGAGCGGCTCTAAGAGGTCCTCGATTTCTGTCTCTGTCCGAGCATTTCTCATCGCCTGTAAGTACAATAGATTAAAGATAATAATTAAAGATAAGTCCACCGAAAGAGCGTTACAAGTATTCCGCCGTGATCTCATTATCGAAGCATTTGCTTTTCTTCTCTTTCCAACAGAGCAATAACTTCGATTAGAACTTTGCCTCGATTTTTTTGTTCATCGTTTTCCGAGGCACCACGACAAAAGGGCGCGACTTTTTCCCCATCGAAACAAGCAGTGAGCATCACGGATATATTCATCTTGTCGTAGCCGCGGGTGAGAACACCAACTTCTTTGGCTCCAACCGCTTCGATGCACTTGCTCGTCGAAGCATTCAGCCAAACCGCCCTCTCATCGCAAGCAACAATGTGCTTGTAATCGCCTTCTTTGATTGTCTTGTTCAGCCTCAGAATGTGCTCGACGATGGCCTTCTCAAATTTGCTCGACAGCTTTTGACAAGTAGTTGTTGGTGCCCTCAAAGAAAGTTGGTGGCGCCTCAAGAACGACTCCATCCAGCCATGGGTGCTTTTGAAAGAAATTTCAGCTTTTTCGAATCGATTAGTTAGCCGCTTCATTCCAGATAATCCGGCGTGTCACTCGTTTCTTCTCGGCTCGACGATCCCGTATCCATTCAGACAAGCGGCTCCAAGCGGCAGCCGATATCAATCCCCTCCGAGTTCAAGTGGCGTCCGGCTCCATTGAGTCTCTTGCGTTTTCCGTGGACTTTCTCGAGCTCGATTTCTTGTTTGATGCAGGAACGCACACATTTTCGATCGATCTTATAGAATGCAACGGCTGCTTTGATCCAAACATTGCCCATCTTTGCAACAGCCAATTTCGTTTTGACATCAATAGCCTTTTTCTTTTTCTTTGTAGGTAGCTCATCCGATTCACTTGAAGATCCTTCAACTTCAGCGTTGACCGAGCTCCCATTGGCATCTTGTTCGGCTCGTTCATCACGCGGTTCTTTGAGGAATTCCCTCTATTCTTCGTATTCGCAACGAGCCCGATATTCCTCAAACCCATCGAGCGATTTCCCATCGAGATCCATATCTGAAAAAATAAAATTAATAAAGTAAAAAGGGAAGCGGGGGTGGCTACTCTGCGCCAAATTCTTTGCGCAACTCGCCATAGCTTTCTACTAAGTGGGCCAATCTTTTATGATTTTGGTGTTACTTTGTTGCACTTGTTGAGACCTACAATCATAAAGAAAGATTGGCCCACTCAGAAGAAAGTTATGGCGAGCTGCGCAAAAAAATTTGGCACAAAGTAGCCACCCCAAATTTAAAAACAACAAATTTATGGGATAAAATTAAAAATACAAACGATTTCTGAAAATACATGAAAATTTTCTGCTTTAAAAGGGTTGTTTGTAATTACGCGTTGGGTGGGGGGTGGGGTATTATTTTAGGGGGGTGGGGTATTATTTTCCCTCCCCCTCTAGAGTGGGGTATTATTAGAGGGGTGGGGTTCAATTACAGTATTTACGGTATATTATATCGTGTTGCTTTTTATCGGCCCTTTTCGTGTTATGTGTATGAATTCATGTATATTTCTCTTAAATCTAGCGCACTTTATCTCAGGTCATGAATAAAGTATCTATAGACCACAGCTGCATTCATTTCCCTCGATTTTCCTTCTTTTTCCTTCTTTTTCTTTCTTTTTCAAATCTTTTTCAATGATTCACTTCTCCATTTCCTTTCTGATACAAATCCATTGACATTTTTACGATCCGCCCACTATTTTTTTTCAGAATTTCTAAATCGTAATGATTTTACGAGGGTTTTTTTACCTTTATGAATAAACAAATATTAAAATTTATTAGTAAAAGTAGCTTTTTTTAGTACAAGTAGCTTTTTTTAGTAAAAGTACAAGCACTTTTTGCCTATTTTTATCAATTGCTGTATTTAAATAGCATTTAAAATTTAAATGATTAATGAAAACGATTCTCTGACTTGCTGTTTAAGGGTTACTTTGTGCTTACATGTAAATGCCGACTTTATAGTCTACTTGATCCGCTTTTTCTTTGATTTATCGAAACTAGAGAAAGTGTGTTTGCACTTTTGAGCACAAAGAATACTTTATTTCAACGATTTCAAGATTCTAGTTTGGTTTTTTTTGCTTCGTTTCTAGATTTCAACTGAAATTTATTACATTTACCAAGTTGGGGACTTGAATTTGAAAGAAAACCATCAATTTTCTTATCTCTTTGCAAAGTTGGAGCTATTTTTTTGAATCTTAGAAGCTTTTTGACGTTTCCTTATTTAGATTTAGATTGTAATTTAGAGAAAAACGCGTTCTTATTCTTCAATTATTCTTTAATTCAGTTTTTCATTCAAATTTTGTTTCATTTTTGATTTTGATTCATTCAAATCGTTAAAATTCATTAAAATTCATTAAAATTCGTTCAAAATGCATTAAAATTCGTTCAAAATTCGTTAAAATTCGTTCCGATTCATTCAAATTCGTTAAAATTCATTAAAATTCGTTTAAATACGTTCAAATTCGTTCAAAATTCGTTCAAATTCTTTCAAATTCGTTAAAATTCATTAAAATTCTTTCAAAATTCATTAAAATTCGCTCAAATTCGTTCAAATTTTGATTTTGATCGCGAGATTTCCAGTCTCTTAGAAGACTTTTTAATAGTATAAGAGCTTTTAGTAGGCTTAAAGCATCTTTTTAAAGCTACAGTACTCTTTTTGGTACTCATAGTACATCTTACATCTTACAAATAGATTTCTAAGCTAATAAGGGAAAGGCAAAGGCTTTTTGATTTCTTTTTTGACAGAAAAACTGCCTTTTTTTCACTCGAAACCAAGTCCATTTTATAGAATCGGACATGAGGATCTAGAATCTGTTTTTAGTTTTTGCAGAACGCTTCGCAAACGCGAGATCTATGGCATAGGAAGTCACCTTGAAAATCATCTTATTAAGCACCTAAAGCACCTTATTGACTCCTCAAGAAGCCGTCAAAACCTCCTTCGGTGGTCTGGTGGATAGGCTGCTAGACTAGGGAACCTCTTCCCTCTTCGACCCAAGTTCGGGTCCCACTCTCGTCACACTTTTTTGCTTTTCGAAAAAACTGTTTCCTTACGTTGTTACAATGCAGAATAGACCTGAATTTTATGCACTGCTTTCTGTAGCTTTCAGAAATGTGGCTATAAATGTTCAACTTTTTAATACTGATCGATTGATTCTGATACAATCGACTCTCGATTTAACGATCCACTTGGAAAAATTTTGATTTAACGATACTAAAACGATTCTAAAACGATTCTAAAACGATTCTAAACAATCCTAAACTATCCTAAACGATCCTAAACTATTCTAAACGATCCTAAACTATCCTAAACGATCCTAAACTATTCTAAACGATCCTAAACAACCCTAAACTATTCTAAACGATCCTAAACTATTCTAAACGATTCTAAAATAATTCTAAACGATTCCAAATTTCTTGCGTAGCTGCCCTGAACGGCTAACAAACTCTGTAGACCATCAAAGCAATTATTCAGAAAGCTTTTGATGGCTTCTTAAGGAGGCTTTTCGGCTTCTTCTTAAGGCTTCTTAAGGTGATGTTCTATCTCATATATCTCGCATTTGCGAAGCGTTCTACAAAAACTAAAAATAGCTTCGAGATCCTCATGGCCGACTCTATAAGATGGACTTTGTCTCAGCTTGCTCAGCTGGATCAGCTTGCTCAGCTGGATCAGCTTGCTCAGCTGGATCAGCTTGCTCAGCTGGATCAGCTTGCTCAGCTGGATCAGCTTGCTCAGCTGGATCAGCTTGCTCAGCTGGATCAGCTTGCTCAGCTGGATCAGCTTGCTCAGCTGGATCAGCTTGCTCAGCTGGATCAGCTTGCTCAGCTGGATCAGCTTGCTCCGTTGCTTTCCCTTATAAGTACTGTTTTCTTCTGTACTGTTTTCTTCTCACTTCAAATCTTATCTTAACTCTAATTTTCCAGGCTATTTGATGCTCAATAGCTCTCTACTCGTTGTCTATTCAGCGCCCAATTTCCGCACTACCGTAACTCAAACTTTCAACTACAGTATCTCATTGATGATTTCCCCGAAAAATGACCCGATGACTACCAGTGATTTGTCGCTGAGTGACGAGGAAACAGACTTTCATTCAAATTCCCAAGACAATACAAACACAACAGGAAAATCTCGTTCCCCTAGCTTTGGCTATGAATCATTGGGCGAAGAGGATGAAATATTCGATGATTACTGTAACCCGTCGACATCGAAAGAGATTCAGTCAGACGATTTCTCTTTATCCCCATTTTTGCAGTATTTTTTGGCGGGTGTCTGCGATTTGAGGCCGAATCAAGATGAGTACTCGCATGTGCGATTTGGGTTGCGACACGCGCAGAGCCAAGGTCGGTTTTTATATTTCGATAACTTATATCAGATTCTACTTAAATCAGATTCTAATCATTCCAAGAAAAGCCCATTCCCGTCTTGACTGTGTTCCTCGCGAGTAACGCGTTTTTTAAAACGCAAACTTGGGAAAAACTACCTTATTGTTCACGCAGATTACTACAAAAAGTTGTCGCGAACAAATCACGAGCGCCGCCTTATATACGCCTTCTTTTAAAGATCGCTTTTGCTGAAATATTCAGCCGTTTAACTGATTTGGTCGCAAATTCCCTTTAAATGTAAAGGTATTCAATTTACTCGACGAGGAGTACTCGTAGTTACTCGACCAAAAGCGATTGTGGGGCATTTGATGCCGCCCTGTTTGCCATTGGCAATCCAACTTTGAGCTCAAATATCTTAGCGTACGGCTGTCCAATTTAAATCTTCTTGATATCATTGGATGTGCCAAGTCTTTCTCTGTCGATTGGTACAAAAACTATTGATATTGGACAGCTCAACACCGAGATATTTGAGCTTAAAGTTGGATTGCCAAAAGCAAAAGGGTACAGGGCGCGTATAAAAGGCGGCCCGTCCCTTTGCCTTTTATACGCTTAATGTTTCATTGAAAAGCCAAGAATGTCAGCTTTTGATTGCTATCTCACACATAGCTCAACACCGAGATATTTGAGCTCAACGTTGGATTGCCAATGGCAAACAGGGCGGGGTGCGTAAAAAAGCCGTCCCGCCCTGTTTGCCATTGGCAATTCAACTTTTGAGCTCAAATATCTTAGCGTACGGCTGTCCAATTTCAATATTCTTAGTATCATTAGATGCGCTAAGTCTTTCTCTGTCGATTGGTACAAAAACTATTTAAATTGGACAGCCCAACACCAAGATATTTGAGCTCAAAGTTGGATTGCCAATGGCAAAGAGAGCGGGACGCCTTTTATACGCGTATAAAAGGCGAAGTGGGGCGCTACCAAATGTCTGTTAACCACAAAAAACGGGATTAATCAAGTAAAAATTACCCATTCAAATTTTATTCAAATAATTACTTACTCGCAAAGAGCACACTCTATTTCCGTCTATTTTTTAAACTTCTACCAGAATTCTTTTTCGTGCCCTAGCTACAGTACTCTAAGTCTTCAAAGAGTTTAGAAATAAGTGCTTTTTATGAATTTTTACCCTCTTTTCGATTTCATTTAGCTTTTTCGGTTATATCTATTATTTAAAGAATTCTCCGATCCTTGAAATGCTTTAGATTTTTTTGGACAAGAGCTGAAAGATCAGGGGAAATGAAAAACAATTTACCTAGATGGTATTCTATTAGAATGATTACGGTAGATATCTAGAGATAAAAAAGGGTAGATCTAGTTCACTAGAACGAGTGCGTTTACAGAAATCCACTGAGATTTCACTCTTTTTTTGATCAACTTGCTTTCAAATTCCTTTCTCCTGAAATTCCATTAAATTCAAATCCATCAAATTCTTTTTTCGATTGTTTGCCGTTTGAATCACTTTCCAAATTCCAATCTTTATAGGGAGAAAGGAAAAAAATAACGAAAAGTTGAAAAGTTGATAAGAAATTTGAAATTTGAAACAAAAAATGAGGATTTAATCTTTAGAAGTGCGAGATTTGTTGGAGAAAATCGAAAAACAGGATCTTCGAATCGATGAACTCGCCGAAATCCATCCAAATGCCATTGTTACCGTAGTTAAAGTGAGTTCAGAATTTTAGGATTCATTTTACCGTGGTAGATTAGGCTTTTTTCTATAAACATGACCAGAATTAGGCCACCAGCTAGATCCAGGCCAACAGCTAGACTCCCAGAAGCCAAAGACAGTTTTGACCTGATCTGGCCATAGCCTTGCTGGACCTGCCTAGACCTGCAGACTCAAAATACAATAAAGTACCCATTTCTGTGCTTGAGGTGATGACAAAAGAATCCAGATACCGTAAATACTCTAATAGAACGCCATAATGACGGGCGTACAGTTGCGTAGTCTAACTTTGAAGTCCCATTCTCCGCGCTGCTACAGTGTGCGCTTGGGTGTCAAATGATAGCCATTGGAATCTAGTATTTTTAAGTAGAAAGTAAAGCAGTGGGGTAGAAAGTGGGGTAGAAAGTGGGGTGGAAAGTGGGGTAGGAAGTGGAGCAGGAAGTGAGGCAGAGAGTGGCGTAGAAAGTGGGGCAGAAGTGGGGCTGAAGTGGGGCTGAAGTGGGGCTGAAGTGGGGTAGAAGTGGGGCAGAAGTGGGGCAGAAGTGGGGCAGAAGTGGGGCAGAAGTGGGGTAGAAAGTGGGACAGAGAGTGGGGCAGAAGTGGGGCAGGACTAGGGGCAGGAAGTGGGGCAGAAGTGGGGGCAGAAGCGGGGCAGGAAGTGAAGCGGAAAACTGTAGATAAAATCATCAGGAACTTCCAGGAACTCCTCCTCTCTCTACCTCCAATTTTCGCTCATGAAGAATTTTTATGTCTGCCCGTCGATTGTTCAGCCGAGTTGGCGTTGTGCTACTTGACGACGTGAGTTTGGAAGGGGAACGATTTTCGGTACTTTCCGGTACCCGCATAGCATCAATCCAGTTATGTTCCCGTCAAATTTGCATTTTTTTACATTTTATACATTCACGACAAAGTCATTTTTAGCTTGGCTGCGGTTTCGGGCTATCTATGTTAGCTGTAGAGCTGAAAATTTGTAATCAGAGGCATTCTGGGATGGAGAATCTGAATCCGTTATTAGTTTTTGAGCTAATTTAATTTCCGAGCCAATACGGCATCACAAAACTCTCTGAAACTTGGGTAATTAAACGAAATTGTAGAGAAAAGGCAAAAAAAGCAAATTTTGGTTGGAAAGTACTCGATTTTCAAAGCCTGAATAAGAGGATTTAAGGAAAAGGGATAAAATGCGCTCATCGTAGCTATTGTACCAGTGAATACTGGTACAATAACTACCGTATAGCCATACGTCCAATACCAGAGACAATCCAATACCAATGCCAGTACTTTCCCTAATCTTAAGCCATGTTTTGTCTATATAAAAGAACTGTTTTACCTCTCTTACCTTAAAAAGAATCTTGAAATTTCAGTCTCATTGACGGCCTCTCGTCGGAGCAACGCCAGTTAGCGTTTTTAGCGTCAAAAGCCATCGCTCGTTTGATTCACGTTGGTGGGAGTACGACGGCCGCTTTGACAGGTTCAATAATTTCAAAGTTATTGTTAATGATCCTAAGCTATACCTAAACAATTCCTAAACATTATATTAGGTTTTCAACTAAAAAAGGATTCGAGTCACTTTAGGGACAAGTTTAGTGTCTTCAAAATAGTTCGGTTTTGATAGAGTTCGCTTTTGACTATATAGTGGAAAATGAGCACCCAAAAAATACCATTCAAAATAATTAAGAGTTCGGATCATTTCATGGAAAAACTTTGTTTTTGCAATAATTTTTCTTTTTTGTGAAAAAGCCGGTTTTTTGAAAATTTTGAGGGTTTTGAACTTACGCTCTATCTAAATTTCTGTAAATGCATTCCCGTTAGACTTTAGACTCCGTTAGACTCCGTTTGACTTAATGAATTCATATATAGTTATCCTTTTTTTGTTTAAAGCTTCAATTTTGGGAAGCTAACTCTATTTTGACCACACTAAACTTGTCCCTAAAGTGACTCGATTCCTTTTTTTGGTCACTCGCATTTCGCTCTCGAAATGCGCCCCAATTTCTTCAATGCTTCGATCACTTGAAACATCTCCGAAATGTCCGAAAAAGTTCAAAAACAAAGGCTTTTCAAAATCTCTCAAAAGCCATTTTTTTGAGAAGAGACCTATCTTTCGAATGATACAAACTAGATTTCATTTTGTTCAGCTCTAGTTCAGCTCTGGTCCAGCTCTAGTTCAGCTCTGGTCCAGCTCTAGTTCAGCTCTGGTCCAGCTCTAGTTCAGCTCTGGTCCAGCTCTAGTTCAGCTCTGGTTCAGCTCTGGTCCAGCTCTAGTTCAGCTCTAGTTCAACTCTAGTTCAGCTCTGGTCCAGCTCTAGTTCAGCTCTGGTCCAGCTCTAGTTCAGCTCTGGTCCAGCTCTAGTTCAGCTCTGGTCCAGCTCTAGTTCAGCTCTGGTTCAGCTCTGGTCCAGCTCTAGTTTAGCACTAGTTCAGCTCTAGTTATTCCTTTTACAACCAGTCCCACTCAGAGTCTGGTTATTTCCTTTACAACCAAATACTTACAATAGAGTTTTCGTATTGTACATTCGAAAAGCTGAAGCTTTCAGATGCTGTCATTCTCTACACTCCATGCCTTTTCCCATTGTGCTCATCAAGGTGTCCATCGTTTTTGAGGTAAAAACATATAAGGGGGTACGGTATTATTAGCAAAATGTCGAATAAGTGTTATTTTGTAAATGATTTTTATATACGATTCATTCAAAAGCGTTTCAGAGCCTCTCGAGCAACTCTATTGTTGATTGAAAGCTCCGAGTCATTGTTTGCACCTTATATCACGCATGACCAATTTTATACAGGTTCATTTTCCCTTCAGAAAGCTACTTAGCCTACTTAGCCACTACTGAGCCTACTGAGCCTCTACATAGCCTGCTCAGCATCTACTTAGCCTACTGAGCCTACTGAGCCTCTACTGAGCCTACTGAGCCTCTTCTTAGCCTACTTAGCCTACTTAGCCTCTACTTAGCCTACTTAGCCTCTAATTAGCCTACTTAGCCTCTACTTAGCCTCTACTTAGCCTCTTCTTAGCCTACTGATCCTCTACTTAGCCAAATCAAATGCCAAATCAATCAAAATTTTAGAACTATTTGGTCGATTGAATCGTTTACACGAATCGATTCTCTCCGACTCTGACGACGAGGAGACTTCAGAGGAAAGTAGTGGAGACTCAGGAGAAAGCTGCGGGAATCGATCTGATCTGGTGAATGACAAATGATTGAAGTGTCGTTTCCCAGCCAGTTTTAAATGCAAATCAGGAATTTGCTATGCAAAGCGATTGGGAAAGAGCTAAAGTATCGGCCAATAGTGGCCCAATAAGGGCCAATAGTTTAAGTGTTAGTTTAAGTGCTATTTTTAGTGTAAATCATCAGCTAAACCCTGAAATTTCCTTGAATCATACTGTTAATCGTACTTTGTGCTCATAAAATCTCCCGGGCGCATTCAATTCTTCATTTCTCTCGGGACAACGAAGCGTTACTGCGAGAATTTGGAGAGTTCAGTGCACCAGAAAGGGTATGCTTTTACAGCTTTACGAGCACAAAGTCCACAACTTGCCTCAGTCTTTAGCCTATTGAACTCAATTGAACTCAAATGGATACTCAACTCTTCAATTCAACTCAATCTTTCCAATTTCAGAGTCTACGCGATGACTGCATGAAACGCGCCCAGAGTTACTACATGCTCACCTATGAATCTGAGTGATCTGCATTAGATTTGTAACAGAAACATCTGTCGATCCTTTTTGCCGTTAACAATTGAAAGTTTTTCTTGTTTTTCTCAGCACCAACCCTTTTATTTTGATTATTTTAATTATCATTCGATGCAGAAGAAAATTGCGCGTCGAATGATACCAAAATTAGCTCAAAATATAATATTCATGCAAAGTTATGAGGCAAAAGGTTAAGTCCGGCGCATAATGGGCGGGGCTTAACCTTTTTCCGTTGGGAATTTAAGGTTTTTCTTGTTTTTCTCAGCACCAACTCTTTTATTTTGATTATTTTGAATGTCATTCGATGCAGAATCAAATTGCGCTTCAAATGATACAAATATTAAATAGAAATATCCATCCAAAGTTGTTGGCTAAAAACATAAATCCGCCGATTATGGGCGGGGCTTAACCTTTTGCCGTGGCAATTTAAGGTTTTTGCCTCATAACTTTGCAAGGATATTCTATTTTGATTTAATTTTGGTCTCATTCGATACACAATTTGATTCTTCATCGAATCATAGTTAGAATTGTCAAAATAGAAGCTTGGTGCTGAGGAAAACACGAAAAACTTTAAATTGCCAACGGCAAAAGCTTCTTAATTTAATTTTTGCCCCATAACTTTGCATGGATATTCTATTTTGAGTTGTTTTTGATATCATTCGACCCACAATTTTCTTCTGCATCGAATGATAATCAAAATAGTGAAGATAGAAGCTTGGTGCTGAGAAAAACAAGAAAAACCTTAAATTCCCAACGGCAAAAAGGATCGGTAGATGTTTTTATTACAAGCTTAATCTGTATTGATTCGAAGAGTTTATTCAAAACAGTAAAAAACTTGATCAAACATTTCATAAAATGCAAAAAGTATCAACAAAAAGTATTTTGTGCTCAAAAAACGTAAACGCCTATTTTTTGGTGCACTGAGTTTCCTATTTCTGCACGGAAAAGTGAAAAATCAATGCAGAAGACGTGCGTTTACAAGTTTTGAGTAAAAAGCACACCAAAAAAATCAAGCAAATCCATCAGAAAAATGCAAAAAAGACGAAACACCGTAATTCTTGTTGAGAGTCAAAAAAATTGATTATAAAAATTGTGTAGATATGAGAATATGCGTTTTTTTGAGCACCAAAAGTCAGGAAAATGCGGTGAAAGAAATCCTTTAGCCGTGCACCAGATGGGGTGCGTTTTTGCACGAAAAAAATATTTAAAGGAGATTGGGGGTAGGCTAATTTTCGCCATTTTTTTTTGCGAAACTGGGTCGCTTGCGCAACTTGCCATAACTTTCTTCTAAGTGGGCTAATCTTTATGATTTTGGTTTCATTTTGTAGACCTCAATAACTGCAACAAAATGAAACCAAAATCATAAAGATTAGCTCACTTAGAAGAAAGAAACGATACTAGATTCGGCCTTGGCCACTTTGCGCCAAATTTTTTGCGCAACTCGCCATAACTTTTCCCCATCTTTATGATTTTGGTGTCATTTTGTTGCACTTATTGAGATCTACAAAATGAAACCAAAGTCATAAAAGATTGGTCGACTTAAAAGAAAGTTATGGCGATCTGCGCAAAAATTTGGCGCAAAGTAGCCACCCCCGAATCTAGTACCGTTTCTTTCTTCTAAGTCGACCATTCTTTATGATTTTGGTTTCATTTTGTAGATCTCAATAAGTGCAACAAATGATACTAAAATGACGGCTCCATTGAGTCTCTTGCGTTTTCCGTGGATTTTCTCGAGCTCGATTTCTTGTTTGATGCAGGAACGCACACATTTTCGATCGATCTTATAGAATGCAACGGCTGCTTTGATCCAAACATTGCCCATCTTTGCAACAGCCAATTTCGTTTTGACATCAATGGCCTTTCTCTTTTTCTTTGTAGGTAGCTCATCCGATTCACTTGAAGATCCTTCAACTTTAGCGTTGACCGAGCTCCCATTGGCATCTTGTTCAGCTCGTTCATCACGCGGTTCTTTAAAGAACTCCCTGAGGGGGGGATGGCTACTAAAATGAGGGGGGCTACTAAAAAGAGGGGGGGTGGCTACTCTGCGCCAAATTCTTTGCGCAACTCGCCATAGTTTTCTTCTAAGTGGACCAATCTTTATGATTTTGGTGTTACTTTGTTGCACTTGTTGAGATCTACAAAATGAAACCAAAATCATAAAAATTGGTCGACCTAGAAGAAATTTATGGCAAGTTGCGCCAAATGACCCAGTTGCGCAAAAAAAATTTGCGGAAATTAGCCTACCTTGGGATTGGGCTAAAAATTTGAATTTAATGGCTAAAAAAAGGACTAGATTAAAAGTACAATAAACTTTTAAATATGAAACTTTCAAATTATAAATTTCTAAAACTGAAAAGTTTGTTCAGTTAAAACAAGAAAAAAAAGCACAACCTGGTTTTTTTTTTTTTGAAAAATTTTGAATTCAAAATTGTAAAGAGAGTGAAAAATTTGGCAATGATAAAAGCCTCAAAAACAGATTTTGAAAAATTTAATCTAAGACTGCAGTTTCTCTGAAATCGTAAATGATTGCCAGAAACGGATTCCCTGATCAGAAACGGATACAAATTTCAGCGTTGTACCCATGGCCTACTTTGACTTTTTGCAAAATTTTTTTGAAAAGACACAACTACATGAAATTTTATTAGACACGTGTTTTAGGGTTTTTTTAAAATACTCAAAGGGGACGCGCGCGTACAGACAGACAGAGATTATTTTTATATATGTCGTAGCCGTTTACGAAATTCAGCCGCTAACGAATCATTCGTTAACGGCTGAATTTCGTAAACGATTCAAATTTTCTCTAACTTAGTAGCCCTTAGTAGCTTACGTTCCTCCAGATGTAGGAATTTCGTCCAAATATGGCGCATAGTCAGCTTCCTGGCGCATTCAGTCAGCTTCCTGGGTTCTTTCTTCCAAATCTACAAAAGCTGCCCAACTTCGACGCCCGTTTTCTCGATGTTCTTACAGGTGAGCACCCCGTACAAATTGTATTTTTGCAAGTCAGAATTTCATGAAGATTCCAATAAGAGCTACCGATTCGACGCCTGCAAGTCGAGATATAGAGCAAAAGGTGAAACCAGCACTTTTACTGTGATTTTGGGCTTTGCTTTATAGTCTCCTGGGTCAATCAAAAACGCTTGTGGGTCAATAAAAAACAAAATAATAAAAACAACACAGTGTGACACAGGTCACTTCCCGGTCGCGCATTATGGCTTAGCCAGAAAATCAAAACAAAACCAAAAAAAACGTCATTTTAACATTGTTTTGAGGGGAGAAACTGCAGTTTGAGTTAAATTTAGCAAAGTTTAAGTAAAAAGAAAGCTTAAAAAGAAGTTAAATAGGTATGTTTTGAATAGTTTTTGAAGTTTTTGAAGTTTTTGAATAGTTTTTGAATCGTTTTTGAATCTTTTCAATCCTCGTGTGGAGTCTCGGGCACACAATAGCATAGATATTGGATGAAATGCGTGAAACGGACTGGAAATTTCGAGTTTTAATGCGTAAAGTATGTTAAGATTTAAGGCGTAATATGTAAATTTTGGAAAAAGAGATTTAAATTGATATGCGAAAAGTCAACTCGATCTGATTTTTAGCAACTTTTACACGATTTTCCCCAACCGGAAATTGAACTTGAACTGGAATTGAACGGGAAAAATCGCATTTGACAGACGAGAATACTAACCATTATACTATCAAGGATCTGAAGAGCTGAAGTTTTTTTAAGAGACAAATGAGCTGCCAAAAGAACCATCAATTTTGATCAATCAAATTTTGAAATCAATGTAGAAAATTAGTTTGAAAGAATAGCTTTAAAGATAGGTAATCAAATCTCTTGTGAAAATCAAGGGTAAGGCTAGATTCAGGCTAGAACCAGAGATCTGTAGCTGGCTTCTGGCCTGGCCTTGGCCTTGGACACTTCCAAAATGGAAAACCCACCCCACGGTTGATAGAGAAATCGTGGTATCCGTGTGTTTAGAACAACAAAAAGGAAATACACCGGCACACCGCTGAGAATCAGCGCCACGCTAACGAAGAGCTCGGCTGGCTGAAATGAATTTTGTGTTGATTTTTGTGCTGATTTTTGTGTTGATTTTGTTAGATTTAATTGTATTAGGTTGAAAAGAAAGTTCTCGGAAAAAGTTTTGACTGGAATTTCTTCAAAAACGAATCCACTAATTCAAGAACACTTTCTTCTATTACAGTCATGGACAAAAGTCTTTTCACGTTGGTTTTTCGAAGTTTATTCTTTGTATATCTTGGTCCAAATCCGACCAATTTGCAAATAGTTAAAAGATTTAAAGAGCTTATTATCTCTAATTTTATTGGATTGGTGAATTGAAAACTGCCGGACTTTGAACTAAAATTTATACAACATAAAACCATGAATTCATTCGAAATAATTTCCATTATTATTGACCACTTCTGCCCATTTTACAGGCAATTTGCGGAGGCAATTTCGTAGTAGGATTTTGTTTTGTGTCTGAGACAAGTGTGAGACTCAAAAATGGAGGACTGGAGACTCAAAAATGGAGGAATGTCCCAGTTTGAGCACTTTCTTCAAAAGAAACCGATTTTGGTGTCAATAGAAAAGTTGTAGAGAATCAAAAATTAGGCTTATAGCCAAATTTTCAAAAAGATACACTTAGTAGTTTCGCTTAAGATGCAAGTTTTGTGAAAATTCGTAAATTTCGCATTTCTTGAAAACCAAAATGAAAAATGAAATATTGGTCAAAATACGGCTGGAAATGCCCGTACAGTAAGGCAGACAGAAAGACAGACAGAAAGACAGACAGAAAGACAGACAGATACCGTAACCCCCCTCCCCTCCCCCTCCTTTTCCGTCATTTCATTTGTGAAAATTCGTAAATTTGACATTTCTTGAAAACCGTTTTTTGAATCGTTCTGAAAATTTGGATATAAGCCTAATTTTTGATTCTCTACAACTTTTCCATTGACACCAAAGTGGGTTTCTTTTGAAGAAAGTGCTCAAACT